AACTTGACAGCACCTTTTCAAATCCTGTGCCCAAACTTAGCCCTACCCTGAAACCTGCCAGTTCAATAAACCCTTTTTCTGCCCTTCCAGCTTGGAGTTGTCTGTCATCTGCTTGGTTTTTAAGGGGTGGGGAACCTGTCGTAAACCAAGAGGGCTGAAATACACAAAACACCAGCCGACTGACCGAGACAGGCAAGCACGCCCTCTAGAACACAAGAGACCTCCAGCCTGCTCTGGAACACCACAGGTCCTCCTGTGGCTCCTAGAATTCTGAGTAGGGAATTCTGAGTAGCCTCATCTTCTACCATGCTCTGCAGTCACTCAATCAAAGCCTGTACCAGAGTCCTAGTGAGTCGCCTGCGCTTGCACCCGGCCGCAGCTACCTGTTGTGAAGCACAAGGTTAGAGTCTTGACTTTCCTGGGCGTCCATACCACCAAGAAGAAATAACGGTGTGGATGACGGAGCCATTCACAAAACAAACTGACAGTAAGGTTTGGCAGGTATACCAGCACATTTAATGTGAAGTATAAAGGCACTGCTATTATTAGCAGCAACCAAAGCAGAATAAAAATGGTTGGCATTTGGGGAGAATAGGTACTCTGAGTTTTCACAAATTGGCTACCAGGCAGGAAAGGGCCAGTTCATCAATGTAGCGGCATTTCAATTGTATTTTAATAAATAAAGCTTGCCTGGAGATCGGGAGCGTAAAACAGCCACACTAGTCAGCCTTACAGCTTTACAGGTGTATGATAACACACACTTTTAATCCCAGGAGACACACTAGTTGCCATAGAAACCGGGCAGTGCACGCGTTTAATCCCAGCCCTAGAGAGGATTATAAAACGGGAGGAAACAGCTCTCAGACACAGTCTCATTCTGAGATTTCTGGAGGCAGGATCGCAATTTCAGAAAGGTCGAAGTTAGTGGCTGGCTGTTTCGCTTTTCGGATCTTCAGGCTGAACCCCAATTTCTCTCTCTGAGTTTTTATTAATCGTGCTTCATAGGACAAGGTCTCGTCTGTTCCAGTCTAGCCTCAGACTTGCTAGGTAGTCAAGGCTGATCTTACATCCTGATCCTCCTTTCCTTAACTTCCAAATGACGGGACTCCAAGTGGGTGCCACCCTACTCAGCTACAGCAGTGTTTCTGAAGTTACAAATGGTGGCCTCCTTATCCTCAATGACAGGCTGCTTTCCTAGTCTGTGTATATAGAAAGGAGGCAGAGTAAACCTACCCCAGTCCAGGCTACTGTTCCTAGTCTGTATTGTGGATAGGGAGACCTTGGGGCATGGGGATCACAAACAGGAGGTACAGCACAGTGCACAGCGGCACACAACTTTAACCATGGGAGGTGGGGACAGAGGCAGGGGGATCTCTGAACTCAAGGCCAGTTTGGTCTACAGCTAGGAGTCTAGTGAGGCCGTGTCTCAAAAATAAATAATCACAAATGGAGCCAGTAACTGAAAACCCACCCATGGGTAAGTGTGACGAGGAAGTTCTGACTATTCGTATAGTGGGGGCAGAGCGTTCAAGGACGCTAACAAGGAGTTACTATTTTTCATCAAAGCTGAGATACCTATAATATTATATCTTAGCATTTCTGATCAATGTCACACACCATTTAACTATATAACAAATATTAATATTTAGCAAATATTGCCAGATGGTGGTGGCGCAGGCCTTTAAGCCCAGCACTTGGGAGGCAGAGGCAGGTGGATCTCTGTGAGTTCGAGGCCAACTTGGTCTACAATATCGGGATCAAAGGTGTGTGTCTTCCTACCTTAATGGTCTGGACTAGAAGTGGATTGACTCACTTCAAACTAAGAGATGTCTCAGGGGGTAAAGGCACCTACCACCTGACTTAAACTTCACATGATGGAAGGAAGAGAATTGACTCTTGCAGGCTGTTCTCTGACCTGGGCACACACCGTGCCCATTCACGCACTAAATAAACTCTTCTGGGGGGAGGGGGATCTGGCCCAAATTCAGCCCCAATTCTGCTTCCCCTTGCATAGTTCCCCAGAGTAAGAACATAGGGAGAGCCCTTCACGTCCCATACTCCTTCCCTGTCCTACGTTCTGCCCTCTCCGACCCTGCTTAGCCTTGAATAAAATTGTCCCTTATCTCTGCTTCTTCTGTACTTCTATGATAACACTATCACACTGCTTTATAATTGATTTTTTTTTTTTTGGTGAGGGGTGGGTATTCTCAGACAATCAGAATGTGAAAATAAGAGTCAAAGATCTTTTTACCTCCAGTGGCTGGTACAAATCAGAGAATCACGTCCATAAAATGCCATTCCCATATTCAAGACCTACGAGCTTCTCTGCTCCCAATTTTCATGAAACTCTTGGATTCTCACTTCACAAACCTGCTTCAGCAGCAGGACCTGAGTATTAGGTGTCGTCTGCCACATCACCCAGATTTTCTCCTACCCGCCCCTCTCGGGGAAGGCCAGCATTCCAATATTCCATGTCCATCAGTCTGGCCAAAGTCTACTTCATCCCAAATGCCAATCTTAAACAAACCCTTTGTATTTTACAGACAACTTCTTCCCACGCATTTGCTATTGTGATCCTGGGAGTGTTAGTCGGACGCCACCCCCAGAAGCCTTAACCCAAAAGGTTCCACCTGAGTTAGTTTGCAGAGTTCCATGGCAACATCCAGTCCTGCCTATAGAAAGTAACAAGTCACCCGCTACCCTTGTGCCTCAGTTTCCCTAACTCTTTTTTTTTTTTCCTAGACAGGGTCTCACTATGCCTCTTTGGCTGGCCTGCCATTCACTACATAGATCAGGGTGGCCTCAGAGATCAGCGTACCTCTGCCTTTTGGGTGCTGAGATTACAGCCAACCATCATTTCAGCTGGCAAGACTCAGCTTCCTTACAGCTTCCTCTTCTTCAAGTTGCTTGTACGCATGTGCACCATGTGCCTGCAGCGTTCGGAGGAGGGTGCTAGACGGTTACGAGCCACATAAATGCTGAAAACTGAACCTAGGTCCTCTGAACGAGCAACAAGTCCAGTTATCCACGGATCTGCAGGCCCAGCTTTCTTATCTCTTGAGAAGAGGTAATTGTTTGGCCAAGTGTACCAACTTGTTTGAAGTTTGAAAGGTCCCATAAAAAATGTCTGAATGTTCAAAAAAGCGCCATTAAGAGAGGAAGGCCACAGGGGCAAGAGTCAAAGCTGCACCAATCCGAGCAACAAAACAAAGTATCACTGGACTGTAATCCAGTGCCTAAAACCAACACCTGCCAGTCCATACTGATATAAATAAACTTACGAATAAATTAATGAGGGGACACACTTCACATACAGAATAATTTAAAATCCGTAACTCCCTAATTCCTTCGATGAGCAGAACTGCATTTGAACTTCCTTCCAAATAATACAGTATGCAAAGGAAGAAAAACACAACACAGAACTTGACCCTGTAGAAAACCAACACACACTCAGCTGGCGAGCAGGTCAGCAGCATCATAAATCTCGACAGTATAAAATCCCTGCTAAGGTGTTCTGAATATGGCAACCTAATTCCATCCTTTTAACATATAAACCCAGCCGTAAGAGTAGGACATAAAATAAGAGGGTACAAATGCAAACAGTTTAAATCGTAATACACCTCAAAGGTTCGGGACAGAAAGGCTGTTTCTCGCATTGGCACTGCATTGGCACTAGTGGAAGACAGGACAAACTTGAAGCAGCGGTTCTCTTCAGGACACTGAGAGAACATCACAGAAAGGGGGGGGGGGCCGGACTCTGATGGACTCCTCTCGCTCTTCCGCTCCCTGGCTATGACAAGAGTAGTTTAGTCCCACTGTGCACTCCGTACTATGAGCTCCCTCGGCACAGGCCCAGATCAACAGGCACTAATGGATCATGGATTAGAACCTCCAAAACTGTGAGCCAAAATAAACCCGTTCTCTTTGGGGGTGAATTATCTGAGGTATCCATCACATAGTATATCTCCTGAAACTTTGAGAGTTCACATAGACAAAGTCTAAAAATTGTCAGAACCAACCAAATGCAATGCAGTGACCTGGATGAGAACACGGAAGGATAAGTATTTGCGTAAAAAGGAAATGTGAATAAATATACCGGGGGCTTTGGCCGATAGTAACGTGTAAGATGGTAATCAAAGAGGAGTCAGTTGGAAGCTATATAGAACTCTACAGATTGTTCTCTAGTGTTTCTGTAAATCGACAACTGTTTCAAAAAATAAAATTATTAAAAATCACAACCAGACACCCTAGCAGACGCCTGTAATCTCTATCATCTAAGCACTCAGGAGACAGAAGGTAACATGGGCTGCCATGGCCACTTTCAGACCATCTTCGGATACAGGTAACATCCTGTCACAATAACAACAACAACAACAATCATAATAATCAAGTTGCAACTTTAAAAACATTAATGAAAGCTTGCTTTTAGAAAAGGTTTTTTTTTTTTAACTTGGGAGGAACGCTCTAGGGATCATGACTTCATCTAACAACAAGAGGTTCAGGCATGCATGAACGCATGTCATTCTTCCTTTTTTTGAAGCACACACACATTGTCAAAATCTGGAATGCACTAGAAATTTTTAAGTGTCTCCTCCCATTCTCTCCAAAAAGTTAAATTCATACACTTTTTATAATTTTTTTCTTTTTTTGGCCTTCGAGACAGGGTTTCTCTGTGTAGTCCTGGCTATCCTGGAACTCACTCTGTAGAACAGGCTGGCCTTGAACTCAGAGAACCGTCTTCCTCTGTATCTGTCTCCGATTAAAGGCATCACCATCTTTTTCTCCTAAAGCTAATTAGTTAGTAAATCATCAGGGATAATACACAGCTCCAGGTACAAGTGGCTAAGCTAGTTTACTCAGAAAATAAATAGATAGATAGATAGATAGATAGATAGATAGATAGATAGATAGATA